GCGCCGCGGACACCGCTGCCCGGGACGAGGGTGTCCCCGCGCGCGGGCGGCGCGGCACAGCGCAGCGCAGCGCTCGCCGCCTGCCCTCTCCCTCTCCCCTCGCGTGCCGCCCAGCGCATCAGCCGCGCCGTCCCGCCCGAGCCATGCGCGGCGCCCGGCCCTGCCCCGCGCTGCCCTTCCCGCCGCATCCCCGAATGGCTGAGGTCGGAAGGGACCCCGAGACATCCTCTAGACCAGCCCCCTGCTCCAGCAGGGACACCCCSAGCACGGGGCACAGGGCGGCATCCAGCCGGGTTGGGAAGCTCTCCGGAGAGGGAGACTCCACAACCCCTCTGGGGTCACACAAAATATCCATCCTCTCCCAAATTTAAGCTCTGCACCTAAAATCACAATCTGGATTTGAAAACCTGCGTATCTATAAYTCCTATATTTCCCATATTGGAATGTTTACATGGATGGGTATCTTCAACATCTATACTTAAAAGTAATTCTAAAATGACGATTTTTATTCACAAATGCACAGCACAGTCCCAAGTAGCTCCCACCTGTATCCAAATGGGGAAAGACAAAACCAAGTACAGTTCTGTGAATCACTAGGAAATCTGGAGTTAGATTCTGCTGCTCCTGACCTGTACCTCAACTAAACTGTCCTCTGCCTTCTTCTACTATATCTTGTGTTGATATTTTTATTATAAACCTTCTTCATTGCAAATTGCACACATTTTAAATGTATATTCTTAAATGTTTTAAGTTAATAAATTAAAGCTCAAAACACTACTTTTAATGAAAGACCGATTTAACTTTTCTATATGTGTGGTAAAATAGACATTTAGGCCTAACTATTTCATATGACATATGTTACGAATGAAAACACCTAGACCTGCCAATGGATAATAAAACCAAAGCAAACATGATATGTGGACAGACAGGAAGGATACTAAAGACAGGAGTAATAGCCCCCTATCACACACTAAATGTTAGTTTATTTACAAACCCCGTTGGGAAAAAGTTATCATCGCATATTTCCTCAAATAAGTAACAAGATATATTCCCTACATATGGGGAATGGCTCTGGAGACTGTCACTAAATGCAGTAGGTGTTGTTTATGTTACTCAGCCATGCTGTATTATAATGATCGTTTACTTAACATTGGCATCTTATAGCTGAATTTACTTACGACGAGATAGGACATTAGCTGTTCCTCAAAAATCAAAATATATGGTCACTGAAAGTCGCAAATAGGAAGTGGAAGTCTTGCTTCATTCTTTTCTAACATCCTGCTCTGTGTCTTTCTCTCAGTGCTGTCTTCACGTGTTATTTCACACGCTCAAGAACTTTGTAAAACGYTCATTACATGCACAGTTCTGGGGGTTTGTTTTGTAAATGTTGCAGACACATTTTGCCTCCCAGCAGCAGACTTCCTATGTTTTTGGTAAGCAGGCCATCTTTAAAAATACCACATACAACATATCATTGAGTAATACCATTAACTCTAGAAGGAATTTAATGGCATACTTCTATGGAGGCAGCTTACCTGCGAGGACGGAAGGTTTCTAGGCTTGGTTTCGTGGTTTTTACCTCAAGTTCCTTTTCTCACAACTTGCAAAGATGATTATCTCACATATTCCATACACTTTCCAAACATCTGTGTATAAGCAAAAGTAGAGACGAGAAAGATTAAAATAAACATTTGACAAAATATATGCTCCCGGGTGAAACAACAAGTGGAATGTTTTGCATGTGGTGTGCAGCTGTCCTTTGTGTGCCGGGGGACACAACCAGCCTAACTGCCATTAACAATAGGTAACAGTCACTGCTATGGAAAGTTTCTGACTGTACAGCAATCTAACTGATATGGCAGGTTAAAGTCCTATTTTATTTATGATGCTGTCTTTGAGCAGATCTAATTTATAAGAAAACAGGAGGTCACTAGCCTACACAAGAATCACTCTCAAGGACGACACTCACTGAACGCAGAAAACAGAGAAAGTTAAAACCTGCTTCTTAAGCTACCCCCTTCAAATTTTTGATGTTCTAATGCAAGTTATGAATTGACTGAACACAACGAAACACAACTACACTGGATGATACAAGTAGCAAAAAGCCTGTAAAACTAAATATGCTTTTTACTGGATCACACAGCTGTGTAAAGAATTAAATGAGCCTTTAAGTCATGCGTTTACACATGCTTGCTGTAAAACAAAATAGAAAGTGGGACCAATTCCAAAAGCTGCAGCACAAAAAGAATTTGCTTTGATTCTCAATAATCCATACTTTCTTTTTCTCCTGAAGTACATGCATTAGAGAAAACAAACATTTCCATACTGATATGAAGCTATTTAAATAATTAGAAGATGCAATGGAAAGTGAAACTCTAAACCACATTATAGGAAAGTTTTATTTCAGCATACACAAGGAAACTCACAGCAGCTGCACAGACCAGTACAGCTTAAAAAGACGCACCTGGTGGCACTTTCTAAGYAATGGTGGCAATTAGTGACCTCCCCCCTGCCCACTCGAGCTCTCTCAGAGCAATCAGTGTGTGGGGCCCAGGTGCTGGCAGTGACGAGCAGATGCTCCTCCTGACTCCAGTGACTCGGTCCAACTCTAAATAACACTGCAGCAGTGCTCTGCCAAATGGTCCGGAGGAGAGGTGCGGTGTACTCTTTCTTCCACATCTGGATTATTTGTAAAAAGTTGCTTTCTGCGAGTACTCAATAGAGGGAGACATTTTCTAGCTTAACTTCATCCCTTAGCACTCCGCCGCGGTAAAAGTCAGATGATTCCTTTAAGAAGTTGCACTGAAAAACAAAATCGAACTCCCCATAGGTTTTGAGCATAGTAATCAAATGTGCAGTCACGTGACTGAAGTTCATAGATCAGCAATTCTCCCACACTAAACTCTGCCCCTCTCTGAGCATAAAACCTGAAAGGAGCCACGCCAAACGTCCAGGTCCACCCTCAGAAATCCCCTGTGGAACATAGGCCACCACACCTGCTGTGTCACTTTTTTATTCTGCATAAAAGGTACTTCAATTTTCCTAGGTTTAGAAAGGTGTCAGAATGCGGCCGAGCAAGTCTGGCGGCTCCCTTGGAGCCCTCCCACCCACCTCTCCACACAACCTGCACAGGAATTGGAATTCTGCTGCCCCGGAGGGGCCATTCCACCCATATTTACTGAAATACGGGCAATTACGATACAGTGGAAGTACACGGAGTACTAAACAATCCTTATGCTGAACCTGTTTTCCGTGGCRATGGCAAAGCAAGACCCTCAGCATGGAGGCCTCCACTGACAGTGTTGAGCCCCACTGAATCCAGGGGCCCTCCCTCAGGTCAGAGCTGCCTTGGCCCATCACTGGGGAAAGCAACAAGCYTTCAAAGCTCTGTAAACACTTTGGCTGGCACCATCCATGACCAGGGGCATCTTTGAYCACCGATCTTTGTCAAGGGGCATCACAAGCCATCTAGAGGTACTAGGCAGCGAGCTAACACGCTGACTGCCGGTGTCGGCTCAAGGCAGGCTGCCTGGCGTGGCACTGCCCGCTCTGGAGCGGCACCGTGGCGGGGCAGGCGAGACASGGCAGGGCAGGGCAGGACACGGCCGGCAGCGCCGGCACGCGCCCTCCTCGCGGCACTCGGTTACCGCACACGGCGCCGCCCTCCCCGAGCTCCGGCCGCTCGGAAGCGCGCGGCGCGGCCGTTAACGGCGGCCCTAACGGCCACTGCAACGGCCGGCGGAGCGCGCGCCGGGAGAGGCTCTCCCGGGCGGCTCCCAACCGACACCCGCCTCCCGCAACCACTTCCAGGTCGCGCGGCAGCTTCCGGCGGGCGGCGGCTCCGCCACGGCAGGTGGCCGCGCCGCCCACGGCCCGCGCGCAACGGCCCTCCCGCCAACGGCCGCCAACGGCCGCCAACGGCCGCCAAGGGCCGCGCGGGCGGCAGCGGCGCGGAAGATGCTGGCCTCCCTGTGGGGCTTCCTGTACAGCCGCTGCCTGCGCTTCTGGCTCAAGTGGCTCGTGCGGCTGCTGACGGGCAAGTGCGAGCTGCAGCGCGTGCTGGAGGCGCGCGGGCGCCCGGCGCCCACCGCGCTGCGCCTCGGTAAGCGCCCCAGCGAGGAAAGCGGGAGTTTAAACACAGCGGGCGTGCGCTCGGCGTTGCTCCTGGTGCCTGACGCTCGCTTTTCTTTGTGTTGCAGAACGCTCGCTAGAGTCGTCGAAGAGTAAGGTAGGAGGTGTTAGGGGCATGGGATAAAGGCAGCGCTGCTGCCCGCTCTCGAGCAGCGCGGTCGGACAGGCCCTTGCGCTGAGTTTCTGCCCCTCGAGACAGGCCATTCTCTCAGCAACAGCGTGTTTCGGAGATGCAAGGGGATCAAGAGAAAGTRTACGTTTAAGACAATTAGATGCAACATCATCGTAGCACTGTATCATTGAAAGAAGTGTAACCTTTATGGATGGACATCAGTTCTTTCATAGTTTCTGAAAGAACACATGCATGGCAAGCACAGGCTAGAAGCCGAGAAATAACGAGACTAAAACAAGACAAAAGATTTCTGCRTTCTTGTGAGGTCCTTGACTATGTTTGCCTTACAGGTTTTAAGAAATGCTGTACACGTTGACGAAGCTGACGTGGAAAAGTGTGTTAGCGATATAATGAAAGAAAAGAAAATAGAACAGAGGAATACAGGGTATGTTGGAAACTGTAAATATTTCTGATGGTGTAAAGTTCGATTTTTGAGACTCACCCTCTTCCCATCTTCTTGATRTGCAAGACTGAAATTTTGCTCTAGAATCTGTGATGGGAATAGGATGGGATATGTATTTCATATATTTCATATATATACATGCAATTGAAGCAAGAATTTATGGCTAAATTATAACTTTTGCTGTGTTTTGTTATTATTTCAGGTTTAAGACAAAACTGCATGTATGCTTGTTGCAGATATCAGGATATAAGAAACTTTATTTGAACGTGGAAAGTCTGAGAAAAGTCCCTTATGATTCAGATAACAAAGAGCATGAGGAACAGTTAATTGAGGTGAAAGTAATTTGCTCTCTTTTTAATTCTAAGGATATGACTGAATAGCTTAATTTAAACTTGTAAGTATAGATTTGGTGGTGTACAGGTGGGTTCTCCCACTCCCTCCCAAAGTCCAGCAGCCAGAATGAACTTAATTTATCTACTTATCGCTAGTATTTTTAACAGAAGCTGACCTGTATTTGAAGTTCTCTGCTGCTGTGAACAACTAAGCCATTATAGCAGTGTTTCATTAACACATCAAAGTACATTTGTAAACTAGTGTTACTTATGCAGAGGTGATTTCATGTGAGATTAAACTTAACATGTAAGTAGTAGTTTTTTTGTGTGTGTAATGGGTCAYTAAACAATCATAGCTATGAAGATATTTAACCTTATGCACATCTCTAACTTTGTAAATCACTAATTATTTAAAAAAGAAAAGACACCAATCCTTAGTTGTTACTAAATCCCACTCAGCAAAGAACATAACTTAATACCRGAAGATAAAAAATAACCAGTAACTTTTAAAGTAGTGTTAAAAAACAGCAAACAAGTAGTGTAATACTGCTTAAGGCTTTCYAAAAGCAGCCTGTACTGTGCAAGCATATTAGCATGTCATCTTAATATTTCATAACTGTCTCGCTTGCCAGGTGAGTCCCAGTATTATGACGTGCTAAGCAAACATTCATTGTGAATTTATATTTCAATTTACAGCTGGCCTGTGAGAAAATGAATCGCAAATTATCTTCTGAAGTGAAACACGTATTTGCTGCTTGAGCGTCAGTATATTGCCTTTGCTCTGAAGAGAAATTAGCACTTTTAATGTTAAATGTAGTAATTTTCATAATTGTCTGAGTAAGSTATTACAGGGTTATTCTAGATTGCCCCTAGATAGGCCAGGGTGTCATTTGTGTCCCAGCCCAGGGAGGAAGGCTGTAGTTCTGAATTGTGTGACTCGGAAAACTTTGGCAGCTCTATGTAACACGGGAACATGTTTGTGCAGCTCTGGAATTTGCTCATGCCTCACGAGAGTCTGAAGGCCAGAATCAGCAAGCAGTGGTGTGACATTGGCTTCCAAGGTGATGATCCCAAAACAGACTTCAGAGGAATGGGCATGCTGGGATTAGTGAATCTGGTGTAAGTGAAAATAAGTACTACACTTTTGCTGTAACTCATTCTCCATATCTTACTTGTTAAAGTTATTTCTAGGAAAGACTGAAACACACAGAAATGGTGGCTTCTGTCCCATAATAAAAAAGTGTATTCTACATAAGTCAAGTTTCTAACAGTTGCTCTTGTAAATTTTAGTAGGCTAAAAGGCAAAAATTGAGGGAAAGAAGAGTTGTGCAAGCCAACTTTTTTTTTTTTTGCTATCATATAATAGATTTGGAATGTAATGACTTAAAAGGAACATATTAAAGCTTTCAAATGTCTAAATTACTATTATGTAAAGTAAATATGTTTACATAAGTTCACTAAGCTAACTTGTGGAGTTAAGTGACATACCTATTTGCCATTCTGATCACATTGATTCTTTGTCATTCAGGGACACAGTGATTCAGTGTCATTTGCCTCAATTGTTTTTCATTTTGTGCTGTTTTTTCAGTAGAGAGTAGTATTCAATTCTAGTCTAAAGTTACACGTGTTGAGGTTGAACACATGAATACTTTGTGTATGGACTAAAAGAATTAATGAAAGGTTTTAATTTACATTGACAGGTATTTTAGTAAACATTACACCGAAGAAGCTCGTCAGATCCTTTCTCGTTCAAATCACCCAAAGCTGGGGTAAGTCATTATGACRCTTTTACTGGCTTTTTTGTTTAAAGTGCATTGTGAAGACTATCAAATACAYGTGCTGAAATTTAAGAGGAGAATGTTTGTAGTTTTCCACACAGACACCTTTAACCTAAGTTAGCTTTATTTTTAATAGGTTTAGATTTAGAAAATACTTGTTGGTTATCTCCTTCCTCATCCCATGTTGGAAYGGTATAAGTAATCCCTTAAGGCCCCTTTATTTGCTAGGCTTTATTCCATGATAGGTATATACAAGTAGAAGTTTTGATGTTGTTTCAAAGCTTTACTTAATTTCTGAAAACWGTCTGCCTCTTTAAACATTTCTGCTCATTGTACAGGAAAACATTGTTTTAAAGTCAGATACTGATGTTGCATATATCCCTCTGATCCATCCCCCGACCAGTTAATTCTGTCACCCACAAAGAATGGGAGACTATCATGACTTGAAGTACAAAGGATACTACTTTACTCAGTGAGATGGTGAATGGGAAATCTGAGACATTTTACATTATTAATTAAACAAACATATCATTGACATTGTAAATTCATCTCTTCTTTTCAAAGAACATTTAGGTCTTTCACGCATTTATACTGTAGGGTATACTATGCAACAGATAAAAACACCTTTCACTTTGAAGAATGTACAGTTAAGATGACTAGTCGGGAGATTCCTTAACAAATCTTTCTAACTACTGATCTTYAATATTACAACAGATTTGGCCATTTCAAATGAGCAAATTCACGTCAAAGTCAATTAGTCATTCCATTCGATACTGCCTAATGGAGACATTTTCTATACTCTTGAATACTAAACTAGTTCTTTTAAAATAATTTTCACATAGTTGCAGATGCACTAGAGAAATGGCCACAGTTGGCTTGTCAAGCAGCAGCACAGGAAAAATAGACTCAGTTATCCTAACACAGATGGGCTCTGGAAAGTTTGTAAATCCTTCTGTGCATATGGTAAAAGGCTAAATGTGAAATATGATTGATATTGCAGATATTCTTATGCAATTGTGGGAATCAACCTGACAGAAATGGCATACAGCTTACTTAAGAGTGGTGCTCTAAAGCCTCATCTCTACAACGCTGTCTCTGGATTGCCACAACTGGAGCACTTCCATCAGTTCTACTGTAAGTAACTGTAGCTCCTGCAGCACGGGTCCTCGAGGTAGGTCTGTAGAGCTGTATTTTTTTGGAGTGCACTTCACTCCTTTTCTCATTAGCCACAACAAGTTAGCATCTGCTTGTTTTTAACAGTTACGCTAAAGAATTGTACATTAAATTATTGCATTTAATGTGTCTAGCGATTTATTTCTGTGCATACTTCACTCCCTTTTCTTCCAAATCAATCACTGGAATGGGATGCTATCTTTATGGGATAAATCCGTGAGGCTTTCTATAGGTCACTCACTGGCTTTAGTCTGAAAATTCAGGGCTTGCACACTTTTCCTATTTGTGATTACTGAAAACAAAAGGCTACTATTGACTAATACGAGATACCCCCTGTCCTAAGGGCTTGAAGGGAGTCCCAGGGACCATTTTGGGACCAACTATCTCAGAGCAGAAGATTGTAGGACTCAGTTGTGCAGATTTCCATTTTGTTTTCTTTGCAGGTTATCTAGTTTACGAGTTTGACAAGTTCTGGTTTGAAGAAGAACCAGAAAGCATTATGCACTTCAACCAGTACAGAGAGAAATTCCATGAAAAAATTAAGGGACTCCTTCTGGATTATGATGTCATACTGACCTTAAAAAGTCCAGCAAAACCGTAACCTCCTCTGCAGTCTCTCAGATTCTGCATCAAAAATGGATTTATGCATTCAGATGGAAGTTTTGCATATTTGGCCAAAAACTGTTTAACAATGGAACTTTTTTTTTTTTTTTTTAAGCATTAAAAAAAAAATCAACATTTCAATTAAGGATGCTTGGACAATCAACCTCTGTTTACAGCTCTTTATATGCTATTCTCCAAAGGACTGCTTTTTTTGTTTGTTTTTTAAGCATAGCTCAAAAGTCTAAATATCCTCTGGATAATTTTTTCTCCCAATTTCTTTGATATTTCTTGGTGCAGGAACATGAAGCAGGTATTTTATGCCTAGTCATGTTTTTCATTAATAGGTTAAGGTGTTAACCGTCTTTTAAGATATTTTTTAGTTGAAAGTATTCTGGTTTTACATTTTTTGCATCCTTCTCATTTTCTGTGCAAAGTTGATACTCCGTAAATCAACATTAAATTTCTCTGTGATAGTGAGGTCCGTGAAGGGGATGCATTTGTTGCTTATGATTTTAGAGAATTAATTTTTCAACACAATAATGTATTTTATACAAATTTTCTGTGGGCTAGAGAAGTTTTCTACCCAGGGATTTGTATCTACAAATTCCTATGCATAGAAAGAACTTAATTTACAGACAAAGAGAATGACAAATAAATAGTCTAAGGATCAAATCCTCAGAGTAAAACTGACCCTTCCAAGAATATTCCTGCTATCAAAAATCTTGGTTCTCTGTAGTGAGACCCTCTAGTTAGCTGCTCAGGCTGCCTGACTTTGTGTCTGTTTCTATTTTTCCTTTAGCAGCTATTGCGGTACTCTTGGTGGAAAGCGTCAGAGAGTTAGTTTAGTCCCTTTTATAGAGTTTAATATGAAACTTCAGTGCAGCTGCAGTTCCTGTTTTGTGAAAATAAATTCTAAGCTGAGTACAGTCTCTGACCAAGCTGTATTTTCCACAGAAGGGATGCAATTGTGACATGTTCCTTAGTAGTAGCGTCTTCAGACAATCTAGTCAGTAGGGCTTTGTGTCTGTATTGTGACTAATTCTTGCTTAAAGCAGCTTTAAATGAATTTGGTACGACCGTTGCTTCATTTTCTAAAACCTACTATTTAAATAAGTGCCTTCTGCTTTATTCAATCAGTGTTTTAATTTGATTCTGCATCCAGATCAGAGCCTTAGAAGCTTGAGTGRCAGACTCTTTCATGATACACCTAAATAGCACATGGCTGCACAAAATTGCTATTGTATGCTAATRCAAATTGTCATGCTTTTTCTTGTTTTGTTTTAATCATCTCAGGTAAATTAGTTAACTTCTGTTTCATCAGTAAATCATAAGCAGCTTCTCCAAGAACACTAATTTCTCAATAAAGGAAGAAAAAACAGCCCCTTTTGGTGGCAAGTGACACTAAACTATGAGTTACACTACAGATATATTGTATGTATTATATGTTAAATGACATCTCCGTGGAGATGCTAAAACCCAACTGGACAAGGTCCTAGGCAACCTGCTTTAGCTGACCCAGCTGTGAGCAAGAGCATTGGACTAGATGATCCCCAGGGGTCCCTCCCGTCTGTGATTCATCGTATAAAACAGGGACTTCTTACACTGCATCCGTGCACACCTGCACACAATTGCTCTTGGCCCCTTAAAAGCAACCAGCAGTYGCTTATTTCTGGGATACCCCTGATCAGGGTAAAAAAATCATATAGGAAAGAGGTAAGGTGGATGTGCCATTTCCTTCCTAAACCATGTAGAGGTGAGAGTTAACAGAGTTTGTTTATGAATATCTTTTTGACAGCCATGCCTAAAGTTATTTGCTGTAGAAAATATTTTTAATATAGTAAGTTTATCCTACTGTGCGAATGTGTACAAGTATTAAGGATAGGAATTGGATAGACAAATAWGTTCGGTTAGAAATATTCATTTTATATGGCTCCAATCAGTATTAAATTTAGTTGTTCCAGTTAAAGTTATTACAGAGACAGCTATCAAAGTAGAGAAACAGGATTATAAAGGTATAAATAAAAATATTAACAAAGAGGAATTTCTGTAACAGATCCCACCATAATGTAGAGGGTAAAGATAAGGAGGAAGTGTTACATTAGAGGAGAAAAATCTCCTTAAACTTACTAATTTGTTTTTGAAGATGCATATGATAACAACAACAGGGCATTTTAAATATTTCAGGTGTTTCTTCAGGATCTTATCTGACTAAATTTAAGAAGTCGAGGGTTACATTTTTTGCTTTTCTTGTAAAGCTTTAAGTGGCAATGCCRTGGCTGGTTAAGGCAGAAACCTAAACAAACCAAGGTACTTGGAGTCCTGGGAAAGGCTGAAATCCTACAGCACATTCTTGCATTCTGCTTGCTATAGAGCTCTGTCTCTCTCCGATCCCTTGGGACCTGGAAATTCCTTAAACCAATAAAGGAAGTGGAAAAGTCTCCTTCCCACTTGCTGAGAGTTGTTTACCACTTTCCAGCTCCAACTTAGTCACATTTATCATCCCTCATTAATTCTATTTTGCTGTGTAGATTTGCTTTCCAAGCACCATAAGACAGACACTTTTTGAATTTCCTGACGTGTTCAACAGCAGCAGGAAGAGAGACCCCCTTCTTTCCATTTGCCTCCTGCTTGCTAGCAAGGAGCAGCATGGCTTGAGCCCCCTTTGTAAAGCCTTCCCTGGCAGAGGCTGCAGCCTTCATCTGGCAACCTGTGCTAACMTTTCTGGCCTCAAAACCTTCACTCTCCTTGTTCACCAGGAGATTACCCCTCAACAACTTCAGAAGCTTTTTAACTGAGCCCTGTGGGAGATTTTTTTTTTTAAATTAAAAACATGATCTGGGAACATACTGTGAGAATACACAGATTGAGGAAGAAACCTCAATCATTGTTAAGTAGCATACGGTTTAACAAATGTGTTGGTTTGGATGTWGTCATTGTTTAAAAGGAATATTCAGTGTAAAGAAATAACAGTGTTAGTTATTTTCCCAGTAAACAGTCAGAATTTGCATGCTGTTTTTTGCAGTCCCGTACTCCAGTCCTGTCTTAAGGGTCACTAACTTTAGAGTAGTACTGCATTTCCCTATTGGCACCACCGGTGAGCTTATTGTATTATAGTGGTAATTAAAATACATGGAAAAAAATGTGTCTAGGAAAAAGAACCAATCAGTGGGATTTTATACCAAGTCTAACATATTGTAGAGTGAACCTAAGGTAGCCCTACTGCAATGGAAGATTTAAAACAGTATTAGGTATTCTCTGCAAGCTGATATAATCAATTTATTTAACATCAGAACTTGTTGCTCATAGTTTATTCTAAATAGTCTTAAAGGTTAAAGCCTTGGCAAATTTTCACTAATCAAGTATTACATCTTAAATTAGGTACTGTTTTATTAGAACTAGCAAGAATTGTTAGCTTTCTAACTTGCTGCCTCTTTAAAACATCCTCTCTTGTGAAAGTTTATACGTAAATAGTAATATTTTAGAAAACAATCTAAGAAAATCAACATCAAGCTGAAGACAAGGTGGTTCTGTACACTTTGTTGTTGGTATTGTTCAGCTGTTGCTACTAGAACTAATTACCCTCTTGTCTAGCATATACTTGAAACACGGTGCTACGCCATAAACATGCTAATCTGAAGATAAAAGTTTTCCGTAAAAGAAAATGTGGTCTTTCAACAAGTTGAAATGCATTGCTTTGCGAGTGACCAGCTTAATTTGAAAGCATGATTTAAAGGCAGTGCTCCTTAGGAAAYGGAGAGAGCATGTTTTTAAAGCAAAGCGGCTGCTACAGCAGTGTGGAGAGCTGGGCGTTTTTTCTTTAAGCACAAGAGGAGAATGGGCAACTTAAGCACCTCAGGTGAAACATTATAGATTTGCATTGTGAAGCAGCAAGCGTTCATTCTTCAGATTTCTCTATCCTGCTTTAAAGAACAAATGTTTTATACACACACGCACACACACTCAGACTTGATTTATGAATTAATGTTTGTATTTAGTTATCTAGGAGTTCAGCAGTCAGTATTCTTGGAAAAAAAAATGGTAGTGAATGCATGATAAAAATGTGACCTACTGTTCTTGCTCTCTTACCTGTTTGTGTTGCTGTAGTGCAGTGGTAGTCAGTCTCTGGAGAGATGTTTCTTGTGCCAGTCTCGAGTTTTGTCTTTCACGAGGGGAAACGAGGAAGCAAGTCACAACAGCTTGTGAGCAGGTTCTTCTTCCCACGCTGTGCTGAGACAGCTGCATACTAATGGAAATTTACGTTTACCACAGTATAAAAGCAATAACATGCAAAAACTGTGATGTCTGTGTACTGGACGGAGATGTTTACAACGGTAGCTAATAAAGAATGAGTTACTCCAAAATACTGCCAGTGCCCCATGAGCGCATTATGGCTTTTCTCCAAGTTGCCTTGCTCTTTGTCCTTACACGTGCACTGTGATAGAAGAGGAGGCTTTATCCTATTTTTTTTCCCCCCTTCTTTTTCTGTCTGCAGTTCTGAGAATCTGTTTCAAGAGTTCYTCTAAGGTTCTTTTACTAAGGTTCTTTTATAGGTACAGGGCTTGCATTTATGTTTCTCTTGAGAACTGCACGGGACAAATATTACCTGGTTAGAAATGGTAGCAAGCAGAACATCTCTGTATGGAAGCTGAACTGGATGGGAAAATGAGAGGAGGGGATTGGGGAAGGGAGGGTTCACAAATGCTACCTGGTTGACACACTACTGCTCATTTTTAATTTGGCATCTAAGATATGTACCTTAAATCAACCACTGAATTTAATTAGTAATAGATTCAACTCTGACTGCAGATCTGCGCAAAATACGTTTGCATTTAACCCTCAAGGCCAGTCTGGTACCACGGAGAAACGTGCTTACATGCAAGTCCACCTGAAGTGTTATTTCTGCTCTAATGCAAAGTTGTAAAATTGGAAAGTTGTTTCCTTCACCTCTGACTAAAGCTTGTGTATTACAACCTTTAATCCTCCTTCCCCAATAAACTTCACAAAACCTTGTTTTCCTTGCAAGTGTTGTTGTTACTGTGTGTTGTGCAGTCTCMTTCCATAGAGCTGTAAGGAAGGGACTTCTGCTTATGTCTAGATCACAAACAGATCTCATGTCTAAACAAGGAGGGCTGGTCACCTGCTGGGTGCCTCAGCCTGAAGAAAGGCCCAGCAAGGACTTAGATTGTCTGGACAAGCAGCAGGCCAGGATATAGGTACCATGAACCGCCCCTGTGATAGGGGCTGAGCTGACCTAAGAGGCCCTACACTGTTCCTGAATATTTTATTTTTTTTCAGATATTTTAGTCTAGCCTGACTATTCCATTTTCTGGTAAAAGTCATCTTCTATCCACAGCTTAACCTCGCTATTACCCAATTACCAAGAACTAGAAGAGACAAGAAAGGCTCATGGTTAAGGCACTGACAAGGATGCTGTAGTCYGGAGAGTAAAAGCAGGAGTTGGTCAACATGAATAAAACCCAAGTGGGTGACGACTTGGCAAGTTCTGTTTCCTACTGGTAATGATACAACTACATGACGCACAGACACACAGTTACCACAGGTTCACAATGCTCCTGTGAGACTAACGGATAAATAACCTGTAATAAGAGCAATTACCTGCCACATTATGGCTCTTTCTCTTCCCAATTCCTGTCCTCATTAGCCTCTGCCATCTTCATTTAGGAAAGCTGCAAATTCAAAAGCTGTTTGGCTAGCAAAGGCTTAGCAAGTCTGAAGAACTGGATGATTCCAACATAGGCTTCAGCATATGGCCACAGGTTTCAGCACTGAGGAGAAAGGAAAAGTTCTTCCTGCTTTCTGGCTCTAAGATTAACTGCCCTACACATGCTCTACATTTCACAGATTGAAAAGCATCTCCATGTCAAAGCTTACCAGGTAAGAGATACAGGTGCTCCTAAAGAGCCCTCCAGACTCTAGCTCACACAGCATGCCTACAACAYGAGACTTTTCTTAAATACTCATCTTTCCTTGAAGGGCTTCGCCGTGTCGCATGCTGGACAGCTGAACTCTCGCCATCGTCTTCCTCTTGCCAGCTCTCAGTCACCGCTGGAGGGGAAACCAGGGCAGATCTTGCCATCAAATAAGCACTTGCCAGGAGGCCACCTGGCAGCTATCAGCCATCATCAGGTGAGCAGCTTCACCAAAGTATCCTGAGACAATCAGCTCACCCGACTGCTTCCTGGAGCAAAACTGCTCATAAAGGTGACTTGGCTCACACTACATAATTTCTTGATGTAGTTGTGTTAGCAAAGGAAGTGAGGAAAGCTAGAGGAGCAAAGCAAAACCAAAAATCACCTTGCAAAATGGCAGCTATTGCAGTCTGCTTGTGGATGCCTCTTGTTAGCACAGCTGTGAGAGCAGAACGATCCTCCTGCTCCAAGTGGCACCTCCGCCCGCTGGCAGAGCCGAGCGGGGCAGCCCTTTTAAGACGAGGAAATGTTTTCAACCTGTGGTCTGTGCACCTCTAGGCGTGTGTGAAAGACATACAAAACAGAAATTTTAGGGGCTGCTTAGAGGGGTTAGCACTTGGTAGTGAAGGCTACTGTGGCGAATTGCCAGGCACTGCAGTAAAGCACTCTGTTCTGGCCTTGGCATCCTCAGCTAAAACACTCAAAATCATATTCTTCAAAATAGTAATTACAACTTTAAATGAAGGGCACAGTTTGATACACATTTAAACCAATCTACAGATTCATAGAAAGACTACTGCTTTTTTAATTGTTACGTGTAATCTATATAGGGCTGAAATACAAAGGAGAGAACTCTAATTATTACCAATACAAGAAAAAAAATCAATTATAAAATGATTCACACAACGGTACTGCCAATTTAAAGCACTCAAATTGGCAGCCTTCTTTTTCAAATTGCCCTTATATATACAAATGGTAGGATGCAAAGTCTCAAAAGCAAAGATGTATTCACCAAACAGCGCACACCCTAAGCTGTTCTGCCACTGTTACAGTTTTGAGGCTGACATATCAGCTTCCCTGTGAAAAACATGCTATTTGACAAACTAAAAGCATACCCAATAAGCTCTGGCAAAACACAGATGGGCTGTAAAATACTGGGGGGGAGGTCTTTAAAAAGTGGCAACAACTGTTGTCATCAAATGTAAACATAACAGGGAAAACCAGCTTAATGAATTTGTGCAGTGTGAGAAGCTTACACGGGTTACTTGTTGCACATGGATTTAAACACATTCACGTATTAAGCGAAACAAAGCATGGAAACCATAAGTGTTTTTGTTCCAAAAATCTGTTGATGATGATCCAAAGTYACTTGCTTACATAATAAAACACAATCACCTACTTTTCCCTCTAGCATGAATTTAAAAGTTAAAAAAAAAAAAATCAAATCTGTGCAGAGTGTATTTTATTTGTTCACATTACCCTATCTGTGGTTAAAAACCACTTCATCTGACAGTTTAAAACCATTCTTTCAAAACAAAAGAATTAAACAGCAGCTTCTGCTAAAAAAAAGTCTGCAGGTTACACAGATGCAATGTACAGCAATATAAAAAAAATCAATAGTATTCTACAGAAACCAAGTTTAGGCATGTAGGCATAATCCTTAACTGAACAAATATGAAATATAAAACAGCTAACAAAGTAAAAAAAAATCTTGAAAATCTGTATAAAAGAAGCAAGGATTCAAAGTGCAGGTGCTCCAGTTTTCATTTTAACATACCATTCAGTAAGTTGATACAGGATACTATTCATTTTATATAAAGTGACAGTGTTCTCAGTAAGACTTAAACATTCAATTACATTATCTTGCAGATTTTTTCATTACTTCTACTTACAGTGTTTTAAATGAAGACTTATGCAATACAGGTTTTTAATTTGTTAATCTAACATAGATATAATAGCTAGGTGGTAAAGGTTAGTTTTAAGAGCTAAGATATATATGCTGTAGATCCGGCTATCAAAGTATTTTTTATATTTAAAAACATCTTTCTGTTTTTTAAAAGGGACGCTACCAATCTGTTTTAGCACACGGTTTTAGCACCTTCTTTGGAGCATAATAGCAAAATTCCTAAATCCACTTGCTGGGAGTTCAGCTCTGCAGGGTCACAGTGGAGATTTTCCCTTGGCGGTCACAGCTAGGAAAGGGATCTCTCTCTGTTGGCTTCAGTACATCCAGAGACAGACAAAGCCCAGGAGACACCAATGGGCTCTGCCTTTTCTTGGGGCAGAAACTGTCACGTTTAAGCACATTTGTCTGATGCACCAGCTAGGCTTACAGTGGACTTGTTCCTTTTATTTGAGTGCACTAGCAGAGGAAGTTAGGACCCAGGCAGGTTTCACTGCAGTGATCTTTCCCCTTGATTTAATTTGAGAAATTGAATAATTGCATACATTAAAAACCATGATCCTCATTGAAAAACAATTGTTTGAAACAAAATTTATCCTTCACAGATGCTGCCTGGAACTTAATTTCACCTGAGGTCCTATTCAGGTTGACAGTGTCCCTTTCAATTTTAGGTTCTTCCTTTTTCTTTTTTTTCCTCCTTTTTTTAATTTTTTTTTTTGAAGAATGAGACCTCTATACAAGTCTGTTTTAAAAATGCACACAAATATCGGCATTAGGTTCACATTTAAAA